TATAATAGGTCAAATACCACAAATTATCATAAATGTTTTTAATGAAGACTACATGACAAATAAAATAACTTCATGTGACAGTAGAGATGATGGAACTAGTGTTATATCTAGTACATCTGGTAAAGGTCAATTGATAATTTGTGATTATAAAAGTAAAAGATCATTAATAGATAAGGTTTTTATTATTATTTTGTTATATAAAAAAACATTATATAAATATTATTTTATTAATTGTAATCATAATTATATTATATAAGGTTGATAACGCACATGTTGATTCAGTCACAAGTTGTCATTATAATCCATATGTAGAAACTTCTCTATTAACAGCGGGTGTGGATGGCACTATTAAATGGTGGGATACGCGTAAATTAAAAGGAATTCTTAATAATTTAGTAAGTATAATTAAATTGATGATTTGATAATATTATATATATGCACTAATATATATTCATATTTATAAACTATAAAAAAAAAAGCCATACCCATTACATACTTTTAAAAAACATATTGGTGGAGTAAATAAAGTAAGCTGGTCGCCTCATATTAAATCAATATTTGCAAGTTGTTCAGATGATAATACAGTTATTATATGGAATTCAGAAGTAAATATTTTTTATTTAATCTTCAACATTAAAATCATATTATTATTATTAACCTTAAATATTTAATTGTTTAGAATATTGATAAAGAAGAACTTGGGATGTGTTTTACACATAAAGGACATCGGTAAATTAGAACATACAAAATATAAATATGCATTTTATTATTTTTTTTCCATTAATTAATATATATTATTAATTATTAGGTCTAAAGTTGTTGATTTTGCATGGCATCCCAATTCAGACTATGATAGAACCATTGCATCAGTATCTTCTAGTTCAGAAGTTAATGTAGGACTATTGCAAGGTAAATAAATAAATATGGGTTTTTTATTTTTAAAAATTTGTTTATATAAACTTGTTTAATTAGTAACAATAATGATATTATTATTATTAGTGTGGAGTCCATATCTCCCACTTCTTTAGAATGATGCTAAACAATAAAAATATCATGATAAAAATATTATGATAAAAAAAAATATTAAAAGACTTCTGATAGTCTCTGTTTCTATTTTTTTAATAATGATGTGCCGGTCATTTCTTTTGGTATTTCTAACCCCATGACATCTAAAATTGTGGGAGCCACATCACACAATGCACCTTTTGCAGATTCGGTGAATGAATGATTCTTTGATGTCATAACAAAGGGAACTTTTAAATATAAATATAATTAATAAAAAATATATATTTATATTTAAAAATTATTATTTGTTGTTATTACTATTATTACCTGGATTACAAGTATGAGCAGTATGAGGATTACCATCTTCACCTTTCATTTGCTCAGCGTTACCATGATCAGATGTAACGAAAAGTATATAGTTATTTTTTTTGCAAGCTTCGTATATCAAACCAATAACTTTATCGGTTGTTTCAACAGCTTTCACTGCTGCTTCATAAATTCCTGTATGACCTACCATATCAGGATTTGCAAGATTACACATGATGAAAGGAAACTTTCCACAAGTTATTTCTTCTACAACCTTTTCTGCAATTTCTAATGCTGACATTTCTGGTTTGAGATCATAAGTTGCTACTTTTGGTGATTGAATTAGATGGCGACATTCAAGTTCAAATTGTTTCTCCACTCCTCCATTAAAAAAAAATGTTACATGTGCATATTTTTCGGTTTCTAAAAAAATAAACGTTTGATTATTGATTCTTGATATCAAAAAAAAAGACATTATAAATATTGAAAATTATAGATATTATTATTTACCTGCAACATGACATTGAGGAATCTTATTCTTTGAAAGCCATTCAGCTAAAATATTATCCATAATTTGTGAAGAAAATGCCACTGGAAATGAAAATTCCGTTTTATATCTTGTCATAGTTGTGATATGCTAAATAAAGTAAAATTTTGTTCATTTTTAATTAATAAAAATATGTTAATGTTTTAATTCTTTATTTTTTTTATAATAACATACAAGATTTTTTGGAATCTCAATCTCAAATGGTGGTGGTGAAATACCAAGAGTCTGGACAATTTGACGCATTCGATCAGATCGAAAATTAAAAAAAAACAATGTATCATTATCTAAACAATAATAATATTTAATTAAAAACAATTTTTTTTTTTTGATATAAAAAAATTTTTGTTTATTAATTTGTAATAAAAAGATACCTTTGATAAGTCCTTCTTCATTAACAATTATTGGTTTTAAAAACTCATCAGTTTCATCTTTGTTATATCGTTCATGAATAGTCTAATTTATAAATATCAATATATATAAATATCTCATCAACTAATTAATAATAATTATAATATATATATGTATAATTATCTAACTTGTAAAGGATTGTCAGTTTTTTCTCCAATTCCTCGAGTCAAACCATCAACTGCAATCTTAATTCTTTCCCATCTTTTATCTCTATCCATAGCATAATATCTTCCAGTCATGGTAGCAATTTTACCATAATTAATTTCACCTGAAACTTTTTGGAGCTGTTCAAGATATTTATCAGATGAACGAGGATCGGTATCACGCCCATCACCAAAAAAATGCACATAAGCATCACAAATACCTATACTTTTTGCAGATTCCAAAAGGCAGATCAAATGATTGATGTGACTGTGGACACCTCCATCAGACACCTTAAATAATAAGGATAAAGGTAGGAATTATTATCATTAATTTGGATTTAAACTAATCTGATTAATTTGTTTATTTATTAATATTCATAATTAGTTGTATACTTACTAAACCAAGAAAATGAATTCTGTTTGATGTTTCTTTGGCATGCTCAAAAGATTTTCTAATATTTTCAATTTTAAGAAATTCTTTTTTTTTAGCAGCCAAATCAATTCTTACAATATCCTAATTTTTATAGTTGTAATAATTTAATTGACTTTTTGTCTTTTGATTTATCACTCAAAGAGATTATATCTCTCCTTCTCTTATTCACCTGATAAACTATACGACCTGCACCAATATTCAAATGACCAACTTCAGAATTACCCATGAGTCCGTCAGGCAACCCAACAGCCAAACCATGAGCCTCTAATGTTGTATAAGGATATTCTACCTTAAATTTATCCATTATAGGTGTATCTGCATTAAGAATTGCATCACCAGTAGAATCTCCTGAGGAAATACCCCAACCATCAATACAAATAAGACAAGTATTTTCTTTCATTTTTTTTAAGAATTTTTTTTATTATTAATATTGAGAGTTTATATGTTGATCTATGTAGATTATTTCTATTTTATATTTTATAGTAAAAAAAAAGCAGTTGAAAACACCATTAATGACATTTTTTAAAAAACAAAACAACTGCAAGCTCTTAGGACTGGCAGACCTAAAAAATTATCAAGCCGTGATGAAAGTAGTAAGCAAAACAACTGCCTATATCTGGCAAATCAGGTTTTTCAAGTTGTTCATTAAGATTATTTATGATTGATGCCTAAAACAACTTGCTTTAACATAACATGATGAACTGTTGTATCAACGTAATCAATCATGCATTGGTTGACTAGGTTTCATGAGTAGATCTTGATTTTCCAAATACAACTACAAACTTTAGCACCAGGTTCCATAATAAAACAAAGTGTACCATAACAAGCCCTAAGTTGTTATAATAAATAAATAAACAAACAACTGAATATATTCCTTGTAGCGATAATAGTAATAATCATAGTAATAATTCTTTTTTCTTTAAAAATAAAACAAATACTACCCAATTAAAATAAATAATTAAAATCTGTTTTTTGATAACATAAATGTGTTGGAAAATTTCTTGCCCAAAAATTTACAACAACATTTGGCACCATATTGTAATAATGTGTCTTGAAAATATTTTATCAGAATTATTGCAAAGGAAAAAAACTGAAAGTGTAAAAAACTTCTACCAACAAAAAATGAATCCTAGAAAGGGAAAATGATAGAAATCAATAAAGTAATGAAGGAGATATGGAAAATAAAGAAG